AAAAAAAAAAAAAAAAAAAAAAAAAAAAAAATACCTTGTGTCTGTGAGGGTATACTCTCTGCTTGACCAAATATGATATAAGTATCCGAGGTAAGACTCTTGAATACATCAGGTTTAGATATAATATACCATGCCTGTATAAATATATAAATAAATATATAAATTAATATATTATTTATTTATTTATTTATTTATTTATTTAATTATTTATTTATTTATACGCAGAAAAAAGGAAAAAAAAACGACAAATATTCATATATTTATACCTATATAACACTATATTGGATATTATATACAATTACTGTATAAATAAATAAATAAATAAATAAATATAAATAAATAAATAAATAAATAAATAAATAAATAGACTATTTATTTATTTATTTATTTATTTATTTGTATTTGCTTAATACAATTAATAAAAACAATATATATTTGTCTTAATACAATAAAAGATAATGAATAATAACACATTAAGGTAATTGAGCAACAAAGAAGAATAAATAAATAAATAAATAAATAAATAAATAATATATTTATTTATTTATTTATTTACCTGTTTAGATTTCCTAAGAATAACCCTAACTACATCAGGAACTTGTTTAAGTCCTAATTTAAGTACAGCTTTCCTTGCTTTTCTTTCGTTCCTTGATTGACGATATTTAGATGGGGAGAATTCAACTTGTTGTTCTTCTTCTTTTTGTATTTCTTCTTTATTTTTATGTTCTTCTTCATCATCTGTACCACTATCTGATGAAGAAGAAGATATATTATTTATATTATTATCTTTTTCTGCTTCTGCTGCTGCAGCTGTTGCTGCTGCAGATTGTGCAACTGCTTCTTCATCAGCAGATACATTCTTACGACCTACAGACTTCTTATGAACCATTTTCTTCTATTTTTCTATTTATTTACACCTTTTCTATTCTTCTTTTATTCTATTCAAAAGAATTCGCAAAAAAAAGAAGAAATACATACATGCATGCATGCGAATGCATTAGTGCCGCCCTCCCCCCCCACAGCAGCGGTGCAATGGAAACTTTGGGGCTTTCTAACACATGCATGTATATTATTTATTCTCGTCTTCTTGTCTTAATTATACAATTATTACAATAAAAAATAGAAAATAAATTAATATTTATTTATTTCTTTTTATTTTTCTCTCTTTTTCTCATTTTTATTCACAAAAAAGCACTAAACATCATGTATTTATTTGCCGTCTTCTTGTATACGGTGCACCACACAGCACAGCCCAGATATCCTCCGTGTTTATTCATCATAAAAGGAAAAAAAGAAGAAAAAAACAATTTAATTCATCAATTTTATTTATATTTATTCTTTTCCTTATTTATTTTAATTAAAAATGAACATTTAATGTACCATTTACCTATTTTTATTCCTTTAACAACAATATATCCATGTAGACAAAGCCCCAAACGATAGACACACAACCCTTTTCCTTAGCCACTAATCCTAAACCCTAAACCCTAAACCCTAAACCCTAAACCCTAAACACTAGTAAATCCTAAACCCTAAAGAAAGAAATAGTAAATAATCTATTAGCTACTTAATATTTACATAAAAATGTATTTTTATTCTTTCTTTGCTTTTCCTTGCATGTCTTAATAAAGCAAACACAACAATAGACAGAAGTACATTTATAACAAATAAATAAATAAATAAATTAATTAATTAATTAAATAATTAATTAATTAAGTTTATAAAAAGAAAGAGAAAGAGAAAAAAGACAAGGAAGAGTAACAACAATGACTTTAATAAGAACAACTAAACTAAATAATAATAAAATAAATAAATAAATAAATAAATAAATTAAATAAATAAATAAATAAATAAATTATTTATTTATTAGTAACAACAGTTATATTATTTGTTTCCTCCTCTTGTTCGCCTATTGTAGCTTATTTATTTATTTGGTCCTTTTTATTTTTAATTTAATTAATTATATTTATATTTATAATTATATTTAATTAAATAATTATAATTATTTATTAACAATTAAGGGCGCATGCAGCCCCAACAGTAACGAAGGAAGGCGGTTGTTTTTTTTTAACAGGGAAAACTAAATATATATATATAATATATATATAAATAAACATAAATAAACATAAATAAATAAATAAATATACATAAATATAAATAAATAAATATAAATAAATATAAATAAATATAAATAAATATAAATAAATAAATAAATATAAATAAATATAAATAAATAAATAAATAAATATAAATAAATAAATAAATAGAATTAAAAGGGTTTATATATAAAGGTTTATTGATAGCAGTGGTTATAAGTAAGAAGAAAGAGAAAGAGGAAGAAGATTATGCTGCTGCTGCTGCTGCTGCTGCAGCTGCTGCTCGTTAATCTTCCCCATCATTGCTTGCTGCTGCTGCTGCTGCTGTTGCTGCAGCAGCAGCAGCAGCAGCAGCAAGCAATGACCTGCCTGCGCCCTGTTTCCCTTCCCTCCTTTCTGTATATACATTGTATATATATTAAAACGTAACACCTATAATAAAATAGCTAAATAAATAAATAAATAAATAAATAAATAAATAAATAAATATATTTATTTATTTAATTTATTTATTTAATTTATTTAATTAATTTAATTAATTAATTTATTTATTAGATAGAGCAACAACACCAGGTAACTCTTTTCCCTCTAATAATTCTAATGATGCTCCTCCTCCTGTAGATACATGACTCATCTTATTAGCCATATTACATTTATCTACTAATGATGCAGTATCTCCTCCTCCTACAATAGATATAACATCTGGTTGTTGTCCTGCTGCTGCTGCTGCTGCTGCTGCTGCTGCTGCTGCTGCAGTTACCTCCCCTACTGCTGCAGCAAGAGCGAACGAGCCCTTAGAGAATGCTGGCATCTCGAATACACCTGGAGGTCCATTCCATACAATTGTTTTTGCTTTCTTTACCATCTGCATAAATAAATACATAAATAAATAAATAAATAAATATATAAATTAATTAATTAATTAATATATTTATTTACTATTTATTTATATTTAATTCTATATATCATACAAAAAAAAAAAAAAAAAAATTCAAAACCCTAAACCCTAAACCCTAATAAACCCTAATAAACCCTTATAAACCCTAATAAACCCTAATAAACCCTAATAAACCCTTATAAACCCTAATAAACCCTTATAAACCCTAATAAACCCTAGCTTACGTCCTTGAATGCCTCAATAGATTGAGGACCAATATCTAGACCCATCCATCCTTGAGGAATACCTTCCTTATCTGTTTTTATCTGTGTATCTGCATCAGGACTAAATTTATTAGCAATAATAAAATCTGTAGGTAATAATATATTAATTTGTTTATTATTTGCTTCTTTTATTATATCTTTTACTATCTTTGCTCCTTCCTCATCATATAATGAATCACCAATAGACATTCCCTCTAATTCTTTCTTGAATGTAAATGCCATACCTCCTCCTATTATCATCATATCTACCCTATATATATATACAACATATATATATTCACAATAAACCCTAAACCCTAAACCCTAAACCCTAGTATACCCTATTATGCCATACCTCCTCCCCTATTATCATCATATATATACCCTATACATATATATATCCCTAAACCCTAAACCCTAAACCCTCATAATAGATAAACCCTCATAAACCCTAAACACTAATATATAAACCCTAAATCATTAATATATTTATTATTCATGATATATATACCCTATATAATACATAATAAACCCTAAACCCTAAACCCTAAACCCTAGATAAATGGATAAAAGTAGATGAAAAAAAAAAAGAAAAAGGGTATATGTATAACCAATTAAAAGAAAGAAGAATAAGAAATAAATAAGAATAAATAAATAAATAAATAAATAAAATAAAACTTACTTATTAAGTAGATTCTTAATAAGTTGTATCTTATCCTTAACCTTAGCTCCTCCTAATATAGCAAGAAAGGGTTTTTTAGGGTTTTCTAATGCCTTAGAGAAATAATTCAATTCTTTCTTCATTAATAAACCACAAACCCTTAATGGTAGATTTATTCCTACCATGGATGCATGCGCACGATGTGCAGTACCAAAGGCATCATTAACAAATATATCTCCTAATCTGCAGCAACCAGCAGCAGCAGCAGCAGCAGCAGCAACAGCAGCAGCAGGGAGGAGATCAGGAGATCAGGATGAAAATAAAGGGTTTAGGGTTTATCTAGGGTTTATAGGTCGATAGATATAAAGGGAAGAAGATAAAGGAGGGAAATAAAGAATAAATAAAAGAATAAATAAAAGAATAAATAAAAGAATATATTAATAATTAATTAAGTATAAGGAATTAATCATAAAGAAAGGAAGAAAAAACATGTAAAAAATTACATGACGGTAAAAAAGACAAAAAAGAAGAAAAAAGGAAAAAAGAAGAAAAAAAGAATTAAATAGAAAAAAAAAGAAGGGAAAAGAAGAATAAAAGAAGAAAAAAAAGGAGGAAAAAAAAAAAGAGTAAATTACTTGGTAAGAGATGCTCTGAATTCCTCAACCTTCTTAGGGTCTGCCTTAATCTTGTTTCCTTGCTCATCTACTCCTTTTCCTTCTTCCTCTACATGGAAGCGAAGATTCTCCATAAGAAGAATATCTCCATTCTTACTATTATTAGATGCATCTTCTGCTTCTTTTCCTACACAATTAGGTATAAATGTTACATTATTATTTATATTATTCTTCTTTAATTCCTCCTTTAATATAGGTACAACAGGAGCTAAACTATAACAGGGCTGCACACGACCATCAGGACGACCACAATGAGAAATAAGTATAACAGATCTGCACCCTTTATCTAAGGCGTATTTAATTGTAGGAATTGTTGCTACAACACGGGTGGTGTCCGTAACCTTCCCGTCCTTCAATGGGACGTTAAAGTCTACGCGCATCAATACGCGCTTTCCCTTCAGCTGCAAATACACAAAATATACAAATATT